GACCCTCTGCACCCCCTTTGGTCAGAGTATGAACTCTTGAATGAAGGGCGCAGGTACAGAATGCCCAGGATGAGGACTAAAAGAGGCATTACATCCTTTCTACTGCTGTATTCAGCTCCTTAATAAGCTTTGATTATACAGGATGAACTCAGCACTCTGCACTTTATTTAACTTGCTGAAATTCCTCATTTAATCATGATGATTGAGTGTGTTTTTATGTGCTATCCTGTAAATGTTTGTTTGTAAAGTGTTGTATGCTCTCTGTGCGAGTCAAATTCCCCTCAGGGCAACAAAGGCTTCTTTCATTCAATCATTTTGAGAAACTATTTGATATATTTTTTAGGCTTTCTGAACCAACCAAGGCTCAGGAGGTTTAAATTATGTTTAAAAGCCAGCATATATATTGTAACAGACTTAACAACACTAAAATATTAAGTAATCCCTATAAGATCAATGACATAGTGGATGTTAATTACTGCAGATTAAAGTTAAACACTGGAGGGAATAAAGCAAAACCAAAATTGAGCTCTCCTCCTTGTAGCACTGGCATTGCCTTTTCTTATGCTTTTTACCTTCGCTCTTCTCCAGCAGTGCTGCGATGACAGCTTCGTCCTCTATAGGGTTGAGTGAACAGGTGGAGTACACCATCCTCCCTCCCACAGCCAGCTGTTCTACACCACGCACTGCGATGCGCATCTGGAGCCTGGTAACCACACACAACCTCATAAAAACATGCTCTCTAGTACTTGCCAACTTTTTTTTTTTTTTTTTAATTAGCACCAAAGATCACATAACATTCCCTTGGTGTTTTGTCAATTTGGTCTACCACAGGAGTGCATGAATTCCTATGTTGTCATAATGGTAAACACATCCTCTCCCAACTCACCCATGGAGATGCAGGCTGTTGCTGGTCGTCCACTTTTTCCACACATCTATGTTTTTCCTCATGGTGCCGTCCCCGCTGCAGAACACAGAGCACACAGCGGCATCAGTCAGAAACATCCCATGTTTGGCCGGGGGGCACTGAAACCACCAGAGATTGCCCGACACTTTCTCACAGGGCAAAAATGTCTGCCAAGCACAAACTGTGTAACTGCTGGGCTTTAGCCGACTGCTGCATGCATGCATGCCCTCTCCCTGTCTTCATTACTCCTTTCCTCCCTTCCCTTCTCCCTATGTTGTGTTTGGCAGGGCCTCCTGGCTTCAGCCCTACAGCTGGCCAAACTCAGGCAGCATTTGCAAACACTTGTAGTCCTTTTTTGGCAAAAATAAATAAATGCTAGATTTCAAGAGAATAAGAAGAAATATGTTTTACCACAAAGCTTGCACTGGAACATGAAGAGGAAGCATGATTATTAAGCCTTCATAAAAGACCTGTAAATACCCTGCATCTGCTGGGGGGGGGGGGGGGCTTTTCAAGCAGTCAACAACCCACACATTCAGCAGAGCTTGAAAACTATATTTGTCTCTTCATCTTTTTCCTTCCTAATTAAACCAATAACTCTCCTGCAGTGCTTTAATCTGCCTCAGTTTTGCAGACAGAAAGCCCTGCGGCATTTTGCTGACCTGCAAGGCACGTCACACAGGATGCGGTCGTAGAAGAGAATGTCCTTCTTGCCCTCCGAGTCGATCTTCAGCAAGGGGATGCAGGAGGCGTCATGGTTGACCACCATGATGCAAGGGCTGTTGAGACGCTTGGCCTGGTGTACAAGCAGGTAGCAGCGCTTATTGTCCACATCGTTGGCAATGACAAAACCCTCTGGGGGGGGGGGGTGGTGAGAAGAGCATTCTGGTTAACTACAGTAGAAGGGGCAGGTACAGTGCTGATTTTCATCTCAAATTGCGTTTTGAGAAATGGTAAAAGTTGTGGGAAATATTCATCGATGTGCTCTGCGATTGATAATTTACAATAAATCCTTACAGGGGAAAAAAACAACATCTTAACTGGTATGGGCATTTCTGACCTGGAAAGGGCACGTCCATGTCAGCATGGAGCATCTCAATAAGCTGCGCCGTCTTTGACCCCGGAGCTGCACACATGTCCAGGATCTGCACAAAAATTGTCAATATCATTCTCAGGAGACAGCTGTTCCTAAAGCCACAGGGCAGAACATTTACAAGGGGACACAAGTGGAGGAAAAAAAAAATTGTCTGACAACTCACATTGTCAATTTTTTAATTATAGCAGCAGAACAAGGTTAAAACTGACGTCTAGGCTCCAACCACATGCTTCCCTGCATATTAGTTTTACATGCAGATATTAGGGGAGTTTTTCAGATTATATTTTAAACCCTCCTTATCTGGAGTCTGTGGTTGGATGTTTTTGGGGGAGTGGGGATGAAAGACCGAAGGCAGTACCGCAGCGTCGTTCAGCAGACAAGGGGAGTTTGTACCCAAAATAGACGCTCAGATGTGGAGGGTGTCCTTGTCGAGTTTGTATAACAGTGCAGCTCAAGCCGAGTGCCTCAACTAGGTGGCAGGCGTTGCAACATTAACACCAAGCAGTGACCATATTATTAATCTTCAGAGGGGGCTGTTCTTTTACCTTGTGGTAGGACTCAATCTTTAGGAGAAGAGGAGGAATCATACTGACAGCTTCCTGCCGGCTGATGTTACCCTGCAAAGATAAATGCAAAAATGAAACGTGACACTTTCTTCATCAATTCTGACACGTTCCTTTCTTTCCTTTCCAAGGAATACTTCAATGCCTTTAATAAAGCCACAGTGGCTATTGATGAAATGTTCTCGTTATTTTGTGTGTCACTTACCGACTCCGTCTCGCTGACCAGAAACTGGTGGAACTTCTCCAGCAGGGGAGACTTCCTGATAACCTTCCTGCTCATGTTAGTGTGCCAGGCCTGCTCATCAGGATACCTGTAAATGACGAGACACGAGTGTGCGGAGTGAGTTTCCACTTTAAGTCTTTGTTTCCATTAGACTAGAGTAAACCATGAGATCTTACCAGCTCAGAGGCTGCGGAGCCTCCATCTTCTGGCCATCAATCTCTACCTCCTGAATATCCTTAAAGTACTTGTCCTTCAGACAGTGGAGGATTTCTTTGGCATGGCTTGAACATGATGGGAAGAAGAAGATATTGGGCTTGGAATAAAAGTAGTAATAACATCAGTTATCAAACATGCAAACAAATCCAGTTTAATCAAACCACTACCCCCAATACAAAAAGAGGAGTTAAATCAAGATTATGTAGATGTTCAATGCATTGGCTTTACTTCCCGATACCAGCCATGTCTTGTGCATTTTCTTTAACGATGATACAAATTAAGATTAAAGGAACTTTAACCCATTACAGCCAAATAATGTGATTTAACTGTCACTAAACAACCAGACACTCCTCAAATAATAGCGTTTTTCCACCGTGTGTATGTGAGGTTGAAAGGATTGCGATACTTCCTTTTCATGACTTGAAAAGCGGAGTTCAACTTTTATAACAAATGTATCCCAGAAGCAAAACAAAACAGTACCCCCCCCCTTTAAAGATGTCACAACATTTGAGAGCAGTATTTTAACAAGTAACCCTGCTTCCCTATTTCATTATTCAGGATAGTTCCTAAATAATATCTGGAATGTTTCTTGTCTTTGTTAGAATGAAAACGTGCATTAGTTTTTACATCAGCTTGCATGGACATCTTTGACATTAAGGATACAATAAAAGAAGATTGAAAGCAGGTCACACATCTCTCCAGCTTACCTCTTGTATCCTGTGATGCGGATCGTTGCAGGCAGTGGTTCCCTCATCGCTTCCATAAACTGTTCAAACTCTCCCTCAGGCACCAAACCTTGCTCCTTGTAATAATGCTCAAACAGCTTATTCTCCTTAACAATGTCAGCATAGCCTGCTCCCCAGCCCTGAAAACATGAAAGCTCGGTCGTGTTAGTGTTGCCAGATATGTGAAGACTAGCAATCTTAACGCTCAAAAAACAAAAACAAATGGTGTGACTGTATAAACAATGATTTGCAACACATGGCTTTGATATTTGCAGTCTGTGCTTTGAGCTGAGATAGCTAACCAGCTAACCTTGATGCTCTCTAGTAGCTCCAATACACTGCAGTGTTGTAGCAGCATGACTTCATACATTTTGTAAAGGTGTAACAGTGCTAGTCAAGCTACCTACGCATTTAGTGATAAAAAAAAAGTCATGCCTGGCTTGGTTGAGCACCTCACACCTGATAAAAACAGAAGTTTACAGCAGCACTTGTGTGTGTGTGCGTGTGTGTGTGTGTGTGTGTGTATCTTACAGCGTTATCTCTGTCATCCCTGCCAGAGTTTTGGTTTTTCTGCCGCTGTCTGCTTCTTTTCCCCATGTTTGAATAGCAGACAAATCTGGAGAAGAGCCTGCGGAACGACGTGGTGGGTGACTGCCGAGAAACTATAACCGTAAGCAGGTATACACTCTGAGTCTGCTACACGCTCGAGGATGAAACGCTACACATATGTGCGCTTGAAACGTGTTGCCTCTGACGCACATGAATGAGGACCCTTTGAGAGCAGAGTGAGGCTGTCCCTAGATCTGCCTGTAAACATCTTCGCGGACGAACCATAGACTGTAAAAAAATAAAAAAAATAACGACGAACGAGGCATTTTGAGCTTTTTAAAAAATATATATTATTATTATTATTGTCGTTATTATTATTATTATTATTATTATGAAGCCAAAACTATGCTTTTGATTGTAAATGATTTATTAAATATTAATTTAATAGTTTGGCTATCAGAGGTAATTAATTTGTGTGTGTGTGTGCGTGTGCGTGTGTTTATTATTTTATTTATTTTATTCCAGCAAAAAATAACCATTCGTTATTCCATTGAATTGTAACCATTTGTGATTTACACAGTGGATTGTTTGCAATTTTCTAAGTTGACAATGTATCACATTATATTTCGTAACCTAAACATGGGAAGATTTTCATTGGTTGGGAAGAATGCCATGTCATATCTGTTCAGGGATTGTGATTGGCTCCTGCCGGGAAACACATCCATACGGTTCTGTGTGTGCGGTAATAGTAGCCGGCTGTCGCCATTGTAATGCAACACTTTGTCAAACAGTTGTAAATTGACATAAACTCAGTGTTTTGTTGTATAATAGTAGCCTTCCGTCGAAATGGACTCACTTTTATCTTGGCTCTTCTCCTCGGAAGAAGAAGAGCTTAACATGTTGTACAGCATGGCTTGCTTAATGGTTTTCATGGCAGCTTGCACCTTCGTTACTTTGCTCTTTGAAAATGTCCCATACGGTCGATATGCAACTAGCAAGTACGGGTTTCCAGTTAATGTAAGGTTTGCATGGTTTATTCAGGAGCTGCCTGCGTTTCTAGTGCCTTTGTGTCTGGTGTTTTGGACGTCCTCTGCGAAAACTTCACAACTGCCTAACCAGCTTCTGATTGCCATGTATTTCTGCCACTATGTCCAGAGGTAGGTAGGGCATACAAATAAAAAAAAGCGCTCTTACGAGTACTATGTAGCCTAACTTATATTTGTGTGTTCTGTTTGTTTTGTTTTTTTTATCCTTTCCCAGATCACTTATTTACCCTTTTTTGATACGAGGAGGTAAACCGACACCATTCGTCTCATTTGCTCTGGCCCTTGTTTTCTGTCTCTATAATGGATACATGCAGGTCAGGTACCTGAGTCATTATGCAGAGTACCCTCCACATTGGGTTACACATCCATGTTTCATTGCAGGTAGGTGTCCTGTGTTTGCTTGCTACCCCAACTGTCAAAGGGAAACATGACTTGTTTGGATTTGCAAGCCTTGGTCACCCTTTTTCTGTAAAATAGGTTTAGTTTTTGTCAAATGAATTACATATAAATAGGAGACATACTTTTTTTTTATTTTCTTCTTATTAATAGCTCTTAATTAATTGGGTTTTGATTACTTTAGGTGAGAACAGAGTATAGGGCCCGTCCGATATATGTGTAACAATAACATAACATGTCTTCATCATAAACACTGACATTCCCCACTGTAGCTGTCACACTGACATACCCTGGATTATGTCACTTATTTCATATTATTTCTAGAAGCTTATTTTGATATTTATTGCTTTATACTTTGCAAACTTACCCTTAATATGTCTCAATGTCCTGTATAGTTTTTAGTGTATAGTTAAGATTGTATTTGGTGTATAGTTTACTTAATACTTGCTTATAATAGTTTTTGGGGCCGATATTGGTATAAGGATGAGTAAAAAAATCAGATACCGATAAATATTATTGGCCAATATTGTTCTTAGATCTATCTTAGATCCGTAGAGATTGATAGATATAGATATACACATTTATTGCATTGATCCCGCAAATGTGGTGACCAAACACTTGCGGAAAATATATATAATGCCTTTTGATTGAAGTTATAGAGAAAACCTGAGATGTCAGTAGCTTTTCAGAGGTCTGTAACCAGGTTAAAATACAGGAATGACACAGTTATGAGTTTATTGAGCCATGGCTGTCCATTGTACAGCCCAGTTATTAACCAGGACAAATGAGTCAGAAAATATTGAAGAATAGGTCTGAAATATCAAGTCATTTTTGTTAAATTTGACATGAAAAGGTGAATTTTATTGTTTTTATGATGTCATACATAGCCTTTATATGCCCTTCTCAACAGACTCACTGAAATGTGGTTTGCGAGAAAAATACAATGATAAAGATGAACACAGTGAAGGCATGCTGGATATTGTTTCGCGAAATGTTTATTTTCCTCTGTTTTGGGAGATAGATGGAAAAATTAGCTTTAACCTTCCTGTGTCTGGACATCAAACTGGGAGCTAAAGCTGGGTGGTGATTAGCTTAAATTTGTGCATGAATGGGAACAGCTTTCTATTGCAAAGATATGGAAGAGGTATTTAGCTGCTCATCTCACTCAGAGAGAGAGAGAGAGAGAGAGAGAGAGAGTAAGTTAGGGTATTTCCCAAATTATTAATCATTTCATTAGAAACAGTTTGCTGACTGGCTCTTGGTCAGTAGAATGTCTTGGTAATGCAGCTTTTGGTTGCTCTGTCTCCAGGGTCCATGTTGTGGTTGGTTGGCTGGCTGATGAATATGCACTCCGACCATATCCTGAGAAACCTGAGAAAGCCTGGAGAGACTGGTTACAAAATTCCCACAGGTAAGGGCTTTAGTCATGAATTGCTGGATGGAATTATTTCTCTGACCACAGCGAACAAGTACACAACATTTAACTTCAAAGAGGTAAACTTAAGATTTAACATGATATATATATATATATATATGTGTTTGTTTGATTCCTTAATGCTAGGTGACAAGAAAGTGGAGAAAGCAGCAGTCACATCATAGCACTGAACTCTGTGGTCTTTGTACACAGCCTACATTATAATTTTCCAGTGTGGTTGCATAATTATACAGGATCATGCTGTAAGTAGAATCACAGGTTGTCACTAATAGTTGTATTTTTTTCTCTGCCTTGCTCTCTGTGAGCCCTAACATTAGAGTTCTAAAAAGGTTCTCCTTGCTATATTTCTAATATGCTCCAACTTTGAATACTTGTAGTGTTTTCTCCATATTGAACAAACAAATATGTTTGTGTTAGCAATGTTGCCATCTTGAAAACTATTTTCCATAATGTTTATTTGCAGCATTTTTTTCTCTATTTATGTTCCTACTGTTATTCCTCTTCATAGTACTGTATTCCTGGTTATTTTTTTAACAACTAGGTGTTCTTAAACTGCATTTGTGTGTGTTTTCTTGGATGCATTTTGGATATCTGTTTAAACAGTCGTCAACAGTCAGCCCTTTTGCTTATCTGGTATTTTTAAGCTTTTTTTATTTATTGATTTTTCCCTCACTCTCCCTTCTCAAATGAACTTACCGGTCTAAATATGCGGTTCACTTTCACATCAAGGCATACGACATATCACTCTGCTTTTATCAAGGAAATTATCGTTTCTGATATTTTTGTAAACAAGTCAATGAACAACTGAAAAAAAAAAAAAAACATTCATTGACAAAACAGAAAAGAGTTTTCATGGAGGATACAGCATGTGGAGTTTATTTGTGAAAATTAATTCACTTTCTATAAGATCTGACAAGTTCAGGGTGGATGGGAGGGGTCAACAGAACTTCAAATTGGCTCATCTCCAAATTCCTTTGAGAATCTGCCTAAGGGGATGACATATAATGGGAAATTCAAATACAATCCATAGGTCTGCAGTATTTGATCAAGTAATAGGCCAATTCAAACCATAAGCTGGACTTTTTTTTCTCTGCCAAAGGAAGCAGGAATCATAACAGGTTCACAGAGAGAATGGGTCCCCTGATGGAGAACATAGTCACAACAATAGCACCTTAAGGCTTAACTCTTGGTGACCCTGTTAAAACAAACAATCCTGAACCCTTAAGAAAAATGAAACGGAGAAAGTGAGTAGAGAGGAAGCTGTGAGCAGGGCTTGAACTTCCAGGCATGTCTGGAATCTCCTTAGCCAAGAATCTGCCAATTTCACAGAGAGGGTAGCAACACTACACATGGGCTTGCAGTCAGATATGGATTGCTCAGCCATCTATGTCACTGTGGAGCTAATTATGTGAATGGCCTTTGAGTGTTTAGCAGACGCAGAATTACATCAAGAAATTGTTTAAATGTTGGCAACTTACTAAACTTTTTTAATGGCAGTCGAGGGAAATGCCTCCATTTTTCTTTATAGAGTAAAATATCTGGTATTATGTTGGCCTCAGTGAACTTATGAATAGATAAGTACACCTGTCCTTTTTCCCTGTGTTTTAACCCCACAGGAGGAATGTTTGAATATGTGTCTGGAGCAAACTTCTTAGGAGAGATAACGGAGTGGGCGGGCTTTGCTTTGGCCGGCGACTCCATCCACAGCTTAGCTTTCGCCATCTTTACCACAGTGGTCCTTGCCAACAGGGCCGTGGCCCACCACAAGTAAGAGTAATAACACACACACACACACACACACACACACACACACACACACACACACACAGTAAGCAGCCTTCTCACAGAGTGTATGTATAGTAAAGTTTGAAGCAACTGTTGTATGAATAGAAGAAAGTTTTCTGAATCCTCTTTATATCCCAACAGATGGTATCTCACTAAGTTTGAAGACTACCCCAAGAGTAGGAAGGCACTCATTCCCTTCCTGTTCTAACAACACTTTGGATACTTGAAGCCTGAAAATGTACTGGTTCCCTCTCTGGCGGAAAAGAACACTCCCAATTATCATTATAGTGTAGGAAAGCAGTGAGCACTCCTTGAGGATGCAGATTAAAACACAGGTCACATGCATGGTCAAATGATTTCAGCTGCAGGGTTTTTCTGTAAAATGTTTTTTTTTTTATTATTGTCATCACTTCAGTAATGATGGCCATGGATCAAAACCACCAACAACACAACCAACTTCAACAACACTAACAGATTGTGAGAGTTGCTTAAAAGGAAACAGAGGAAATGATGTCCCACAACAGTGATACAGTGGATTTATAACACTGCTCTGCACCAGCAATAAACAGTTTTAAGACCCTCCACTGATCTGCATATTCTCCCAGATGGAACATGAACTTGGAAATGCAAAGCAGACACTTAAAAGTTTTCAGTCATTCTCGCATCATGTTTTTTGCTAAATGTATGTCATAGGAAAGACTTTCCTACCTACCTCATCATCTCAAGAAGGGAAGCCACCCTGGAACAAGCAGGAACTGCATCTCCATTGTGTAAAGGCTGACACTGTATAAGGCAATTCTGCAGCTACTTTGTAGCAGGGAAATCAGATGAATATCAATCTTGGCCCTCAATAACTCAACCATGCCTGAAATGAGAAGAGGAGAGCATTGCCTCTGCACATCACTTCTGTCAGGGTGTCAGAGAAAGAGAGAGAAGAAGACGACCTGGTTAAGAAAGAAAATGGAAAAGACACTAAATGTATGCGGCCGTGTGTGTGTGTGCATAAAAGAATACAGAAACAAGCGATAATACGGATTGGTAAAAATCTTAACATCTCTGTAATTAAAGTGATCTTATTTTTTACGTCGATCCCAAAACTGGATTGGAAACGTGGTATTACCTCATTACTTTTGCAACATGTTTACAAATAAACTAAATCTGCAAGGGAAAAAAACCATTGGCTCATGATATTGGTAACTCTGAATTCTATTTAGGTATTTAAACGTAACCTCTCCTTCTTGAATCTATCACCGAAAGGTACCAGCTGCAGTTTCCTCCCATAACTCCCGATCAGGTTTCCATGTGTAGGACACCTTTCAAACACCAGTCAAGGCCAAGCTCAGGTCATTCTTGATTGTAAAAATAAAAAGTGTTTTGAATAGATTTATTTTGTTATCATTTTGACACATGGTTTCATCACTAAATGAGAGACTACTTTGTCTGAGTATGATGAAAAATGAAGGCTTTGTGTTGCTGAAGGCTATGCAGAATGACATCTTTCCTATTCAAGGTCCACACTGTCTCACTCTTCTTCTTCCAGGCTGTTTCCGCTGTGTATCCTCTTTATCCGCGCCTCTTGTAATTGCATCACTATATTACACAGACACTATTTACTGCCATGCCATCTGACTATTATACCTTTTATCTTCAGGCAGACTCTATCGGATTTCCTTTTTATATACGAAGCAGGTCAGTCAGTTGAATATTAACTCCCAAACTTACACATTCACTCACTCCGGCTGAAGTAGCTCAAAAGATGTATTATTCAATGAACACATGCCAACCTGCAATCTGTAGTTTCAAATTTGAATACTTGCAACACATATAGAAATAGCCGTTTCGATTTTAAAGATTGTGACAACTTCAGACCAAGAGTTCTAAAACAATTTCTAATTGAAATTGATATCTCCTATTTTTCTGTATAACCATGATTTTTGTATGAGTTGTTTCAGAAATTAGACCATGATGCAAGTGATAGAAGAAACTGAACTGTTCTAACCATTCAATATTAGGGAACCAATCACAAAACTCAGTGACTTACAATTCTCACTTTGTCTTCCTAAATCACTTCTGTGTGTGTCAATATGTTTTGGGTTTAAATTTGGTTGGAACACCCCCCCAACAAAAAAAAAAAAAATAGTTCTGCAGTTCTCACACTGCAGGAGCTGCTGCTATGCAGGTGATGTTAGCTTGGACAGTCAATGTTAAACTGTGTACTCTATAACCTTGCTATGGGGCTTACACCTCAAGCGATATGTTCAAGTGTAAAGATGTGAAATCGCTGTTGAAATAAGTGCTGTTTTCCACTAATGTGGGTTAACTATCTGGAACATGCTGCAGCCTCATTATCATTCAAGCCACATGCAGGCTCAGACAACTGCCTGCCTCCATAATATTTTTTGCTATTACTGTTAAGCCTGAGAGCAAACGGTTCCCTCCTCTAGCCCTGTCTCTGCTCATGAACGTGTGTCAGGCAACTGTCAGCTATGGTCCAGTCATCACCAATGTGGCAATCCCATAAAAGCTGTCAATGAGGCGAACCAGCCTTGAAATCTCAGCCCCACACACACACACACACACACACACACACATACACACACTGGCACACAGTCAGTGTTGGCGTTAGGCTTGATCCAAGACTGTGACATGAGATATGAGAGGAATAACCCATAAAATCTGGTGTGTTGCACAGACGTCTGTATTTCATACAATGTAGGACAGAGGGGGAGAGAAATGAGAAGATACATTTCTACAGGCGTACAGTGGGAGTGAACAGCTGTGTGTATGCCTGAGTGTGTTATTCAGAGAGCAACATATCCTAGCTGGCATATAGTTTGCTCTGGGGGGTTTTCCTTGACTCTGTCACATGCTGCACGTGAGTAGAAAGGGTTGGGGGGGTGGGCATTATGCAAGACACTCTCTCTCACTCTGTTGTATGCACACACATCTCAAAAGGTGCTGGTTTTGCTTAATCCAGCTGGCCTTTTTTTTCCCACCACAGAGATTAATGGCTGTTAGTGGGTCTGCAATGATCAGCACCACCTGCTGCGTACTAACCCTTGAGAATTAGTATTTGGATTCAAGTGCCACGGCGTCAATCTGAAATAATACGCAGGAAAGAAAGGAGCTCCATTTACTCTTACACTTCGAACAAAAAAAAAACCCTTGTGGATTTGAGATGATTTATCTGCTTTTATTTGTAGGCTATGTAAACAGGGCCAGAGGGGATTATTGGAGTATTGCCCTCAAACAGTGTTTGAAATGCTACCTGACATCAGAATGTGGTAACCCTAAAGTTAATTTCAGATGTATTTTATTGGAATTTTGGTATTTTTTACTTAACAAGTATTTCAAGTAATTACAGGGGGGCATATATGGCATTTATAATGTTTGTATGTATATATAATTAGACAGAAGGAAGAGTCAGTCCTTTTGCAATTCCTCTATTCTTTTAGATAAAACTAAAGGCTTCATGATGCTAGAATATAACCTGCCACTTCTGCAATATGCAGCCACTGTTCTGCCTTATATTGATGGGGTATCCCCTATGAACCCACCCACTGGTGACGGCCGGGAGGTGGAGGTAGTGCGTAAGAGTTCTTTTGATTCGTAGCTTCAAGCCCCAGTGAACCACTGGACTCGTATTCAGTATTTACGTTTCACCGTGTATTCATTTGTTGTTCAATTAAACATTTATGGCATGGAAATTCAAACATTTATTCTGTACTATGTATCAACCGGGCGGAGTGATGGAGGAGGGGGCGCAGTCATCGTTTAAGAACCCCCCCTCGTACAGCGCATGCGCGTGGATTTGAAGAGAATACGCCATATTGAATTCCCGTAGGAAACGGCTAGCTTTTCTCCAGCTAGCGGTGTAAATGGGCCACTTTATCAATGGTCCTAATTCGGTTTAATTTTTAAATACTTCCCCCCCTGTAGTAAACCCGGCGGACGTAGCGACCTCTAAAGGTCCGGAAGACGGCGGAGATTCACGACGGGCTCGACAGTGTTAGATAGATACTTGCAGAGAGAGAGGAGAGGAGGGGGGGGGAGAGAGGGGGGGGGGTGTGCTACCAGAGAAAGAAGTTGAATGGATCCGAGGGTAGCTTGGATTCAGCCCGAACAGAAAGGACCCGCAAACGCCTTATGGATGCACGTCTGGGAGACCTCTCAGGGAGTACGGACGCTCTCCGCTCAGCAGCAGCTCCACAATCAAAACTACAACCAGTGTGTGAATTACGCTGCGTTGGATGTTTTAAAAAATGTGGTGGCATCGAGCAAGAGTCTTAGCAGCGGCGGCGGCGGCAGCGGCATCGGCAGCAGCAGCAGCAGCCATCACAGCATCATGAACGGGACTGCAATCTCCTCTTTAGGGCTGTCCAACGGGAACGTACATAACTCATTCACCACCACGACGACGACGACGACGACTGAACCAGGTGAGGGGAAAAACGTGCCCCAGAAGACGACGGGACCTGTCTCCTCTTCTTCGTCGTCGTCGTCGTCGTTAAAGGATAGCCCCCCGTCTGGCTGCTCACTTGACAGGACTATGGTTGGGAACGTATCGGGCGACATCAATAGAAATGTCGGGGGTGCCAATCTGCTTTTCAACGCGAGCGACAGAATGGACAATAACGTCAACCTGTATCACCGCCGTCACCTGCAGGAGCACCCGGCTTTCAATTTACAGCAAATGTGCATAAAGCGCCACCAGGTTCAACCGTGTCTACCTGTAAATCACACACACCACCCAGGTCGAAGGAAAAGTGACAACAAAGCGAGCACTTATGGGATGAATTACTTGCTTTCAAACTGCACTAATGGCAATTATGCGAGCACTTTGACGCCGTGGAAGACGAGGAGGTACAACCCGGGGGTCCTCGGGTGAGTGGATATCTCTCACTGTTTGACTGCCTTCAGATGGAAAAGCTTACTTTAACATTTTGTCTTCTGGTTCTAATGGTCCAAAGCCGCACACTTTTAATTTGTTTTATATATATGTGTGTATAGTGGTGTGTAGAAAGTGCTTTTTGTTACCCTACACAGTTAACTGGAGCTGGTTGTTGCAGGAATGGCTAACATTAGAGAGGCACCATTAAATATATGTTAGGTGCGTAAAGCTGGAGACAATCGACCAGAGCAAGACAGGAAATGGTTTTAGTGAAGTTTGAATTAAGCCGGTAAAAAAAAAACCATCCAACAAACTTTTGTTAAGTTAAAAAAAAAAAAAAAAAAAAAAGTTAGTGTCATTAAGTGTCTCCCTTTATTTCTCTTTTATTCACTAGTCTTTTCTATATAAATGTTTTATTTAGAAGCTTTGGACCGGATATGTTGCTTTAGTGCATTTCTGAAAAGCTTAACATACAAAGTAGCTCTAGCTGTCTTCACTACCCTAAGTGAAGTAGAGAACAAGCAATTAAAAACAAAACTAGTAAGCATTTGTCTCAGCCCGTATTAAATTAACCCTAATTAAAAGTACAGTTTTAACTCACATATAACATTTTTAAAGGAATCATTATTAATATTGGCCTTTTTTTCCCCCGTCACGGCACTATGAGTATTTGCAATAAACACATCGCAAACTTCTAAAAGTATCAACATTTCCTTTGTAAACATATTACTGTCTCATTACCATGTATACATTTGAACTATTTGTTAAGTGACTACTATGGCCATGCTTTCACACCATTGTGAAACATTCAGATGAAGCTTAAGGCTGACCTCAGATGATGCCTATTTAGTAGTGGAAAAATAAAGTTTTTTTTGGATTCTGACTGGACATTGGGCATGAAAAGGTGTCCTGAAGGTCTAATAACAATTAAACTTGCCCAGGATTTGTCATACTGTGTTGGATTACACTTAACTAGAGATGTTATGTCTTCCATAGTATTCAGTGGGTTAATAACCCGATTTAATACAATTTTAAACCAATTTTGACTAAATAATTACAATTTACTTAGTTTGAGTTCAACTTAACTGGTGGGTTTTTTATAGTTTGATTTTTGTTATTGGGTATGAAAGAATGATCCGTTGGGGAATTGTTTTGCCCCCACATTGTTGGAGTTGTAAGAGCTATGTAACTAAGTTAAATCTATTTTATAATATATTAACCCTAGTTAAAATGTACCCTAACAGAAGCCTTCTTTAAATACAAATGACCAAGAACTTCCAGATGTGTTGCAGGACCGTGTGATATTTGTAATGGCTGGTTGCACCAGAGTGGGAATATTCGGTACAATATTGGTGTTTGTCATGTCATGAAAGCACTTACACATGCTTTATGCAAGTTTCTCTAAACCACAACACAGAGTTAGCTTAAGTTTTTCTTAAGCCCCCCCCCCCCCCCCACATCTTCTAATGCAAGTTTTGGCTTGTGCACTCACTTATCTTGCAGTATTTTGCCTTCAGGGGTTCCTTTGAAGTGCCACTGAGATTTTCTGGCCAAATTAAAGAAATACACACAGTTGTGTACACCTTTGCAGATTTATGTGCATTGATGCCAGGATGATCATAGATTAAGATTTGGTTTATAGACAACTGTCTCTGTGTTAGTTGCTGTAAAGACGTAGATTCCACAGTAGACGACATAGAAGTCAGTGGTATTGGGGCCCAAGTTTTAAAGTGATGTTTGACTTTAAACTACTTTGTCAGTTAAGGCTGTAGTAGCATTTCTTATTTGGACTTTGGGGGGGGCCTAACAATAACCATGCCCTCTGTCAGCGGTGGAAAATTGGCATGGATTTGCCCTGGCTTGTTGGCAAAGTGCATTCACCAAACAGTGGGCACATGGGCTGACTGCATTTCCTCCAAGGCTCTGGTAATTGATTGTGACAGTCTCCCTGTTCTGTATTTCACACTGACATCATGGCATGCATTCCTCAAAAAATGAATGGCCACAGGGTTGAACAGAGTTGCACTGTTCAGAGGATATTGGCGTGTGAGAAATCTTTACATTATGTTTCCAAACAAACCACATCGACTTGGCCCTCAGTGTTTTACCAAACCCTCTTGGCACATTCCTCTTTAACCTCGAAGGTGTGTTGTATCTTGGTCTAGATCAGAACAAAATGTCCTCAGTGATAGAGAGATTAGAAGAGTTCTGCAAAGCCTGTCACTCCCGTCCTCACTACCATAGTGCTATGGGGGGGTATGAGGGGGTGGCTGCAGTTGTCATCATTAACAGGATCAACCCCTGGTCTAGTGTTAAGATAAACACATTTTTAATCCTAAAGAAGTAGAAGCCTTTGAGGTTCCCTGTTAACATATACAATTTTACTCATTTCTGAAATAGCATTTGTTAAAAGAAGATAGAAGTTGTGAAAATTGATTTTTCCAACTTTTCTCCAATGATACGAAAATTCAGGACCAATTTTAATTAATTACAATGTCAGAAACATTACCAACCCAATGTTGTACTCAATTTTTGTTAGGATTTTTTTCAGTTATCCAGTCAAGTTTAGTAAAATGTATTTAAAAAAAAAAAATAGAAACAAAATATGAAATATAAAGTTGTTTTCTTGCCTGGCTCTGGCTTGATGGGGGTTTAGCACAACAGTGATAAGTTGGAAGCATATCTTGGGCCATCTGGAGACAGTGCTTGTTTTTGTTCCCAAAGTGTAAGCCTGGTCATATTGCATATTTCCTTCTAATAATCCATTTCATGCTGGACTGTGTGTGTGTGTTTGTGTAATATATATATATATATATATATATATATATTTAAAGTAAAACCCTTTTCTGTCGCCCTCTTTCTTTCCAGGCTCCATGAGGAAGTGATGGACTTCTACAACTTCATGTCCCCTCGGCCAGAAGAAGCAGCTATGAGGAAGGAGGTGGTGAACAGGATAGAGATGATCATCAAAGAGCTGTGGCCCACCGCGGATGTAAGATACACACACACACACACACACACACACACACACACACACACACACACACACACACACACACACACACACACACACACACACACACATGCCTCTACAATTTCCTCCTTGAAGTTTCTTGACATTTTCAAGCAGGCCAATCTGTGAGAATAAAGTATTGGGACAGTGACAAACTGATCTCATCTTGCTCATAAATCCATGTGCATACCCAGCGTATGACAACATACTTTCATAAATGTGAGTCAGTGGTAGTACTGACTAGTGCATGTTCTTCTCTACATGCATCTCAACAGCTTGGCATGAATTTAGGAGTAATGGTGAGAACTGGCTTTACTAATTTGGTTTCTCAGAAGTGAGACTCTGTTACAGCTGCTTGGGACTCTGCACAAACATAAAGGCGATGTTATCGTGTTCAATGCAAATAAGTGATATTTGCAAACACTCCCTTGCTCATCCTTACAACTCTCCTTTGTGAGATTTTGGGGGGGTTATGTATCTGGAGGGAGATGGATGTGCAGATGCAGTGTCTGGCTGATTCTAAAATCTGCACGTTCCTTTTAACATTGCGTTCATATTGAATAATGTTGACTTGTGCCCTAACAGAGAGTATGACTCATTATATTATCAAACACATGTTAAAACCCAGACAGACAGGGACGAGTGGGTTTTATGTTGATTCCCATTATGTTGTCTTTTCTTACATGTATATACAATTGCCTGGCTTGGACAGGTACTGATTTGCAAATTTGAACTTAGCGTAGTTGTAATAACTATTTTTTTCCATTGACAGAAACAACTAAAGTATTAAAAACAAAATGACACTCACTATACGTTGCAGGCCGTACTTCAGAGCAGAGAGTCAGGAAAGTTCACTTGAAGCTCACTAATATTGTCTTTGTTTGATCCATATAAAACAAAGAACAAGGTTAGCATTCTGCCCATTTATCACACAAAACAAACTTTTTATTCATCTGGGTAAGAATCTCTTTGGAGCTGCTGGTCCTGGCCAAGAATCTGTTTAATCCCAAAATGATTTCTCATTCAGAAACTCTTGCTCATTTCAGTGACATAAGTGCATCATCTTAAGGTTAACTCCATCTTTTATAGACTGGCTGGTCTAAGGGTTGAAGCGACAGTGTTTTCAGTAATATGTTCATTTTAATTTCTAACTGAGTACATGAAGGAATAGAGATGGAGGATTCCGCAGCTGGTTGTGTTGTGCAGAATTGCTGCGTTGATTAATGCCTCTCTTGTTACTTAATCATGTAAACCATGTGCTATGGTGATTGCTTGGCTGCCAGTCTTCTCTCTCCAGTCTTCTGTAAAGCCAGACTGTCAGGTAAATGGATCAAGCCCCTGATTTGTACCAGCCTCCCTTTTTGATTTCAACATATTAATCCTGGCCTGTCTTTGTGCTATGGCCTTGTTGTTTTGACCAGGCAGAAAGGAAAAGAACTCCACTCTGCTTCCTTTGGAGAGCTTTCACTTGCAGCCCCTTAAACACAGCATTTTTTCCCTGACTATTGTATATCTAATGTGTCAGCTTACTTAACTTGGCAGGGTTTACTGCCTCAGAAATGGAATGCGGAAATACCTAATTTCCTGTCATTTGAACTGTAAATAAAACTGTACATCAACACGACAAATGCATTGTTGTACAATACAGGATCAATTAACTGTACAAAGCTTGTAGCCAATCCCATTCAGTTAGAACAAAATGGATTTCTAGACTGTCTTTCAAAGATTTTTAGTCATTGTCTTCATATTTGTTCAACATTTTTTGTCTAGGTACAAATATTTGGCAGCTTCAGCACAGGGCTGTACCTCCCAACAAGGTAAGATTTTAGTATTATGATAAAAGACAACTTGACCTGTTAAAGAAATCTTCCTGGTGTGTTTTGCTGGACACTATTCTAACACCTGACTTGTTTTTTTGCTTTCAGTGACATTGACCTGGTGGTGTTTGGAAAGTGGGAGCGTCCCCCGCTGCAAGAGCTGGAACAAGCTCTTAGAAAGCATAACGTCGCTGAACCTTTCTCTATTAAAGTGCTGGACAAAGCTACAGTGAGTAGTAGCAACCAGGGCATGTTCCACAAAACTTCTAGTTTTCAGACACATGTCAAGCTGTATTCATATGGTCTCCTGAAACAAAGTAGCACTGGTTTGTTACAACAGATCTTCATCACTCACACACTCACACACTGGCAATTTCGATCAAATGATAATCTGTGTTCTGTGTTCGCTGACACAGTTATTAACCATGTGGCACAAGATAATTGTGTGGCTGTTAACTTACGTTGTCCAAAAGGTTTTATATTTATTATAAGAGGTGATGAATATTGCCGCCTCAGTAAAGGGGAAACCAGTTGGAATGTACCCAGCCATACCTAAATTTGGCAGCTCTGTTAACGTCCACGAAAAATATTCCCTGGACTTGAAATAGTCAAAAGTAAAAAGCTTTGGCTCATTCCCTCTTTCATCTCCATGGATATGTGAGGAGAAAAAAAGGAAATGCTCAATTAGCATCTTCCATCTGTTTGCGTGAGAGGTGGCACACTCTGCCAGTTGTTTGGTCCTTTTCTGTTAAGCTATGAATACACAGTTTAAATACCAAAAAGAAGGCTTTCTCTGTTGTTCCACAATCATTTTTACAGCTACAATTGTAGGCCTTAAGCACTTTGTAGTGTGAGCACCCACTCTAATGGAAGTGTTTCCCACAGTGGTTTAGTAGCACTGTAGCATACACTGTCATCCTGTGGGGTGTGTAAAAGACTAGGCAAAACCACTGCAAGCTACAATGCTGTCTTGACTGACAAGTTAATAAGTATGTAATGGCTTAATGTTCCTTTATAAGTCACTCATAAAGACTGTCAGTTTGAAAAGATGATTTTTTTTCCCCCTCTGCTTTGTCAGTGACAGTGACAGTTTCCATTACTGATGACTTCACTGTTACATTTTGTTAATACATGTTAAACACTTTTTCTCCCTCAAGGTGCCAATCATCAAACTGACAGACCAGGAGACGGAGGTGAAGGTGGACATCAGTTTCAATGTGGAGACTGGAGTGAAGGCAGCAAGCTTCATCAAAGATTATGTAAAGGTGAGGTATAACTATTGTTTGTACGTCAAACTCAGAGCAGAAGAGGTCAGCTGACAAACACATCATATTGTAACTTGTCTTTTAAGTCCAGATAGGGTTTGTTAATTGTAGTTTTCATATTAAATGAAATCCATCCAGAACATATACTACAAACATAGATATGAAGAAGAGTGCAGAGAAGGGTCATGTTGAACATTTAAATAAAAAATAAAAAAAAACATCAGAGGAGTCAGAAAATTACCATTTTACAGTGAGGTTTAAACTCAGAGGTTTGGAAATTCCCTTTGAGAAATAGTGGAACCAGCAGTTTTAAGACATCACATATGACCTCACTCCAATCTTGTATTGGCTGGTTTCATTTCCAAAGTGAAGCTGGAACCGACCCAAACAACATGGCTCAGTTCAATCTTGACTTAAATTCGACTGAGTCTATGTGTTGCTGAAGACCTTGTTGCCAAATCTACTCAGTGAAGCTGCAATCCGCCCCGTGGCTTTTGACAGAATTCCTGCTGAAGCTGGATCTCTGTCTGCTTTAGACACAGCTGTAGGTGCTAATGCAGGAGAGGAATTCCAGGTGCTGATGTTCCAGCACGCCGCCAGGTTTTGGCTTTTGTGCTTTTGTTGTTGTTACATTTTTTTTGTATTACATTTCTCTAGGGATACATGTCACAACCTGAAAGTTGACGACCAAACTTTGCATCAAGTCAGTGATAGTGGATATTGTTCATGCATGGGTTTGACAGGCTCCCGTGCCGTCTTGTCATTAAAAAAAGGTCATTCCAAAGTTAATCCTCAAATGTCAGCTCCCCATGCAGACAGATGGAGCAGTGTACCTCGCAGTGTTGTTCACACTTCTTAAAAGCATATTTGTAAACTCACAAGAGCTGCTGCTTTCCTGGCAAAGATTTGCACACACATACACAAACTGCCAGAAGCTTATATACCCCTATTCATTAGTAACAAGTAATATTTACAATTCCCATTCCAAGGACCCTCTAGGCTTTCAACATATAATCAAGTGACAGTCTCTAGGAAACTTAATAGGACACCTACTTTTCAAAGCTGTTTACTGTTATACAATACATAACCTGAGGGTAAAACAGATACTCTAATAATATTACATCTGTTCCCTTCATAAACATGACTGAGAGGAGACAGAAACTATGCAGTCCAATGGACCATAGTGCTATTCTGCAGATTTGGTGAGAGGAAATGACCATACTGTCGGAGGGATGTTTTTTTTTAATAACCTCAAACATCAAATGGAATCAGACTCTCTCTCTCTCTCTCTCTCTCTCTCTCTCTCTCTCTCTCTCTCTCTCTCTCTCTCCCTCCCCCACCACACACACCTCATTCTGATCTGTTTTTTCCCTGTTTCTTTTATAATGAATGCAAGTTAGTAAAAGCCCAAAAATCCCACATTGAACAGGCGGTGTCTTCAACAACCACTGAAAAAACAACAACAGTAAAAATCAAACCAGGTTTGACTGGATGAACCATGCTAATGTGTCTCTTTTTCCACTTTCAGAAGTACCCAGTGCTGCCTTACCTGATCTTTGTGCTGAAGCAGTTTCTGCTGCAGAGAGATCTGAATGAAGTCTTCACAGGGGGAATCAGCTCCTACAGCCTCATCCTTATGGTCATCAGCTTCCTACAGGTATTCTAAACAGTGCTCATGAAAGTGGAAGTGGTTTGTTGTGGTGGTAGCATAGACAGTATGAAACATGGACGTAGTGTCAGTGAGGTTACTCGTTGGTTTCTGAAGTGCACTTTTGAAATCCATTGATGACAGTCGCCATATTGGAAGTCAGGGTGCCCGTGGAGTCTTACATTTAATTGTGTTACATCAAGGCCTTAAAAGACTTTAGTGGGTTTGAATGGTTATACATTTTCTTCTGGCCTTGTGTAGGATTAAATAGATACCGCAACATTGTAAAGAACTGCCAAACGTATTATCCCTGCCGCTCACAAGCTAGCGTTAGCGCCTTGCCTCTTAATGGGACTTTTGTGTTTGACAAAATGCTGGGATATATACAAAAAAAAGGCATAAAAAAGCAAAAATGTTGATTTTAAGCTTGTGTGCTCTGGTGCTGGTTACCTTACTAGCTGTGCAAGTACACCAGTATAGCTATGCTAATAAAGCTGTATTGCTATAGTATTGCTCATTATTTTTTATTTTTTAGAGTTATGCAGCCAGTACTTTGGAAACATAGTGCTTACATTTGTAATATTAGTCATGTCTATGTAAAATTTAAGATTCCTTTAAATCTAACCAATATTTTTCTGGAGTTTAAATTCCATGCCAATGTTTCATCATATTCTTCCTCCCTTTGCCAGTGTTGCAGTTACATTGGGCTTAAATTTGATTTGAAGTGGTCTCAAAAAATATCATTAAAAAATCTGAAATTTAACATGGAGAGTCATGGAGGGGTACACTGGGAAGGCTCTCTCAACCAAACCTAGTAACAGGCAAGCAGGTTCAGCTGTGGCGGCCTTAAGCCTTCAGTCATGAACATAAATATGTAAAACTCTTTTCCTTCATACAATCAAAACAGATATGTCATAAAACAAAATTCAAAGATAAAGACATGAGCTATACAGAACAAAGTGGACATTTTTATATGGGGTGTGTATAGGACTTTGGAGACAGCCTCAAGTGGACAATCGTGGAACTGCAGTTTTTTGCTTCTGTTTCCTCTGCCAAGCTCCATTGATTGGCACATCTGGTGGATGTTGTTTAATAGCGATTGGCAAACCTTTTACTGACATTACCGCCACTTGGATTGGGGAGTGGATACTGCCATGTGTGACTGTCTTTTTTTTTTTTTAATCCACTCTGACCTATTAGTATGACTGCATGCACTGAGCAGGTATATTCATGACAAATACACACATATCCAATGTTGTACATTGACATTAATGACAATCCTTACCAAAGTCGTACTTGACTTAAATAAACACTAATCCAGTCTTCTTGTGCTTTCCTTTCAGCTCCATCCTCGTATTGATGCCAGAAACCCCAATGAGAATTTGGGCGTGTTGCTGATTGAGTTCTTTGAGTTGTACGGCCGCCATTTCAATTACTTGAAAACAGGGATCAGAATAAAAAATGGAGGCGCATATGTAGCCAAAGAGGAGATCATGAAGGCCATGACAAATGGATACAGGCCATCCATGCTGTGCATAGAGGACCCACTTCTTCCAGGTGAGACTTCCACTATTCACTGTGAATATAAATGTTACACACGCTGATATCTATGTACAATTATATTTGTTTACACGTGCTAGTTAAAAGCATTAAGTATGAATTTGCTCTTCACCAGAAACAACTAGATGTAATATGTTGAGAAACACTTTATCTATAATAAACAATTATTTATACAGTAGATCAACATTAACAGAAAACTAAAAACGCACATAATCAACATTTTTTGCCTAAGTAACTGAACAAGAACTTAAAGTAACAAAAAATAAACTGTTGTAGTGCCATCTAGTGGAAGTTTCATGTGTGACACTTCAGAAAAGGGCAAAGTTTTTTTTGACATAAGAAACATATTCACTACAATCTTTCCCTGTATTATTTGTTTCTTAAGACATGCATAAGACATCACAACACATCATTAAAGATGCTAGACCTAATGGAGAAATCACACACAAGTCTGCTTTAGGGCCCTTTTTTCTTTTTAGAGATGCACTGATCCTATTTTTTCAGTTCTGATGCGATTCCGATACATAAGTACCAATACTGATTCCGATATTTTTATATCTTAACTAATAATGTTATTGTTGTTGTTGTTGGTAGTAGTATGTGTAACGCTACACAAAGCTGTAGTAAATCCAGCATTGCATTTTGCTGGCTTCAAATACAAACAGGAAGCAGCAACAGCTTTCAGGTTTTTCAAATTAAATCTTTTAAACTGAAGTGTAAGAATTGTACTTTTGATCTTTAAAGAAGGAGCTGTTCCATCCCGTCTGTGTTGGCACGTCTTACAGTTCAATCTAAACATTCTCAGCTTGCACAGTCTCTCATGGAAGAAGTTTAAAGTGCCCAACCATTTCTTAATCAGTGATGTGGATCGGCGCTGTCAGTCCAATATCTGATACGTCAATTACTTCAATATCGGACCCGATACCGATATAAGATCGGGTCGGTCCCATCGCTACCATTTTTTTTAATATAGTTTGGCACATTTTTACTTGTTTAACCTAATACTAACTTAGTTAGAGCAACTCTAATCAATCATACAGTGCAATATGTAATGGAAACTTTTACATGATTTTGTGTTTACGCTCCACTGGTATGATTAGTTCATGGGGCATTAAGGACACAGCTTATCAAGAAAAATCTAAAAAGTAGAACATCACAGAACTTACTGAAATTGTTAATAGTACTAACAAATATTAACTTCTTTGATTTTTCTCAATGCAGGTAATGATGTAGGGAGGGGTTCCTATGGTGCCATGCATGTCAAGCAGGTGCTTGATTATGCCTACACTGTCCTGAGTCATGCTGTATCCCCCCTCGCACGGTCATATCCCAACAAAGACTCGGAAAGGTTGGTATTCAATCCATTCAACACCTCTAAAGACACCTTGCATAAAGTGGTTTCTGTTTTAAAACCCTTCTCTCCCTTACCTGCAGCACCCTGGGAAGGATAATCAGGTTGACACAGGAAGTTATTGACTACAGGGAATGGATTATCAAGAAGTGGGGGGGCAGGGATCTGACTCGAAATGACAACAGAGGTATGAGACTTCAGACTTACATACACAATTCTACAGTACTGAAGAAAAACAGCTTGTTTTTTTTTGGTCAAGTGTCTTGAAACCTAGACATTACAAAGAATAAAGGATAAATGATCAATTCTCATCTACTTGCGTAAACACAGTTACACCTGATTGATCATCAACAGAAAGAGTTCTTAACTTTGGACGTGTTTCTCAACAGTTTCACCTCCCAAGGAGCCAGTGTCCGAACATGATCCCTGTGTGCTAGGAGGTGGTGTCGGGTCCGAGGAGCAGCAGAGGGACTCAGCGTCTCCCCAGAGTGCAGACTCCCCAATGTCCATCTCCAGTCCTCATCAGCACTCCTCAGCCTCCTCGGTCTCCTCACTGTCTGGATCAGACAATGTAAGAATTAGTAACAATTCCATCTCAGAACCATCTATCCCAATAGTGGCACCACTATAGTTACCTGTGATTATATATTTGACGTTTAACATAGTGGAGTGAATGGCCACTCATCTGATTTTATCCTTGGATCCAGTTAGATCTTAATGAACCGCCATCCCATCAAGATGCTCACATAGAAACATATTGTAGTTACAAGTTGCACTTACAACTTTGCTTATTGTTGCTTTTTTTTTTCTCTCTACGTTTTTATAGGACTCTGATTCAGCACTGCCGTGTCCTGTCCCTCCTCCAGCTCTGCCACCGTACCCGTCTTTCCCACCTCTGGGCCTTGCTTTACCACCAGGCCTTAACATGGGCAAGCCAGGCATAGGAGGACACCATCTCCTCATGCCTCCAGGCTCACAGGTAGGCTACATTATGAATGGAAATAACAAAGTGGAAAAAAAAAGAGCTTCTAGCTACATTTTTGAAATTAAAGATGTTTTGTAACCAGACGAGAGATTCACAACAATTAATAACAAATAAGTGGATTTTTAGGTTCTTGGTAATGAATTCTATTCACTTTGTGTCCTCCAGGCTCGCGTCTCACTGCCCGGTGGTCTAACAATGCACTCCATACCTGGCAGACAGGTGTGTATAGACACCGGGCTCCCCCCCTTCTTCCACATGCCCCCCCTAGCCCATGCTCACCCCCCTGCCCCATCCAGCCCCCAGCCTCCGCTCAGCCCCCACTCCAGCCACACACACAAGGTAGGCGCCGGCTGCCTGAAACACATTGTCAAGGCATACCTGTCACACACACTCAAACACAATCTCTCTTACTTACGCACACACAAACACATACTTGTACACATGTAAACACTCATCCATTTCACTTTGCTGTTTAGAAGATGTTTTTCTAAATTGTTACTCACTCTGTCTCTCTCTATCTCTCTGTCTCTCTGGTTTCTCCTCTTCTCCTCAGAATGGAGCTAAGTTTAATGTGAAGGGCTTCCACAACCCGCCACTGGTCAACAACCCTGTGATGGTTAACCGTGGACACACACACACTCACACGCACACACAGTATCACCGCAACACTTGGCGTCGCAGAAAGAGGGACAGCCTTCCGGTTAGCCTCAGCAGATAGAAACCACTCCTCTCCCCCCCACTTTTCCTCCCTCTCTTCTCTGGCTGCGAGACTGTGGCTCATCGTCCGCCTCAAAGGAAGATGGACAGGCAGACAGAGGACCAGCAGAGACCAGCAGTTTTCACTCTGGGGCTGTCGCCACATGGATCAACAGCCCTCAGCTCTGCTTCTTTCTTCTTCTATCTCTACCTTTCCATTTCTGCATGACTTTAGTTCACAGTTTTGTAGTTTCATTATTATGCTAATTTCAGTATTTTATTGATCTCAACTTTATTTCAGGTCAATTCCTGTTTTATTTTTGTATTGTTTATGAGACTTGGCGAAGATGCCTTTGACAAGTTCACTTGACCTCGTCATAGCCCTTGCAGCCAAGCTGCCTGTGGTTCAGTGTTACATTTTTTTTTTTTTTTTTTTTTACAGTTTATACACTTTTTCATTTTGTGCAATAATGTTGTTTTGCTTATTTAATTTGTTGTGTGTAAATGTAAAGGCATTTTTATACTGTTTTATTTTTGTAGAATTTTAAATTTTGTTTACAAAAAGGTTCCCCAGGCAGCATCGCTGGAGTATGTGTGTATGTCAGTTGTGTCTGTGTGTTGAGGGAGTGTATATGCCTGTTTGTCATCAGGTTTAGATGGACCTCACTTCTAGCTTCAGCTTCACCTCCCCCTTCTCTTCGTCTAGTCCACTGTAACTTCTGTTTGATATAGAGGAGCTGCATCAAAAAGGGATACAAAGCTCTTACCTTGATGTTCCCTTTTGTTTTTCATCACCTGTCTTGTGACCACGGGCAAAGTGAACATGGAATTCCTTACGGAAGTTTTGTTTCTCAGTCCAGTTAGTCAAAGGTAGAGTTGGAAATTCCCCACTGGGACCTCCTGACAAACATGGGGAATGGATGTACTTCTATTTTGGCCCCGAAAAAAAGAGTTAATTCCTGGGCAGATAGAGCTTTAGCAGTGATTGTAGAGATTGTATATGTGTGTTAAACTCCCTCTCTCTCTGTGTGTGTGTGTGTGTGTGTGTGTGTGTGTGTGTGTGTGTGTGTGTGTGTGTGTGTGTGTGTGTGTGTGTGTGTGTGTGTGTGTGTGTGTGTGTGTGTGTGTGTGTGTGTGTGTGTGTGTGTGTGTGTGTGTGTGTGTGTGTGTGTGTGTGTGTGTGTGTGTGTGTGTGTGTGTGTGTGTGTGTGTGTGTGTGTGTGTGTGTGTGTGTGTGTGTGTGTGTGTGTGTGTGTGTGTGTGTGTGTCCCTTTTGTGGGACTGTGCTGTTACCATATTTTGTCAGTCAGGGGAAGGCTGGCATTGGCCTGCTAGTTTTCTTTTTCTTTGGCCATCTTTCTCTACACTGGAGGCAATTGTAAAAGAAACGCCTCCAGACTCTGCAGAATGTTGGTCTCAAAGAGCATATTCTGTTCAACATATTGTGTTTTCTGTTTTGAGCTTGTATATTTTTATAACACATTGTAGGAAGGTTTGGGCCACGAAGGCTAACACTTACCTGACTTGAATCTGAAGATTAAGGTTTGGTGGCGGAAAGCCGCTGATTTCATGTCAGAGAAGTCCTCTTCCTTTCTCTGTCAAGTGGAGGGATGGGGTTGTGGAAATCTGATCCTAGGGCTAATGTTAACTTTGCCGACAGCTGTCAAATCTGGGCGGGCTAACACTACGATGCTTAGCGAAAAGGTTTTCTCCTTAGCGTCCTGAACGAAATAGAAGGAAGGAGAGATGGGGGGAGTCTTCCTGAACCAAGGACCCTAATGAAAGGGAATTATATTTTGATTCCATTCCGGAATCTTGTGTATATTTGATTGCCAGGTACTTCCGCTAATTGTTTGCAATGCCTTTCTTTGTGTTTACTTGGAGTGTGTGTACGTCGTTTTCAGCGAGCATACCGTGTCACACAAATATACACACACTCACAGACAGAACTGTCGAGGGCTGTGACTCGCCCAGAACACTGCACTCGCTGATGTTATTACTATGCAAGTGGATATTTGAAATTATTGTGTCAACTCCTTTGCCCTTCAAATTATTATTATTTTTTTTTCTTCCAAATGACATCCATCGCTTGTCGGTCAGAACCGTTAGTCGCTGACAGACTCACAAGCCAGCTCATGTGAACCTCAACCCCAACCCTCTGACGCCCCTGTATTTGTATGAAGGTCCTGACATGTTTCAAAATCTAGTTTTCTACATGTTTTTGTCAAATGTAAAGACTGGGGGATGTTAATGTCATTGGTTGGGCCTAGGTCTGTGTAGTGTGTGACATAGTGAAATGTGTGTGAGAAAGTATTGAGACTTATGGCACCACAGGTTTTTAATCAGACACCCGACGGTTTATGAGCCAGTGCACCCAGAGAGCGACTTGCACTCTGTCGGTGCACTTCAGATGTGGCCAAAGTGTCCACCAACAATTCTTTTGCTTTTTTTGTTTGTTTGTTTGTTTTTTTTACTGAGACTTTTCAGAACCATCACACTATTTATATTTACTTTTCCTTGAAACCATGGCAACTCTGACCTTTCAGTCAAACTACATCTGGTATCAATTCAATCTCAGATGACAGGTTCCTGTCTTGACTGGTTGCTCACAAGGCGATTGAAATTATGAGCTAATCTTCACCTCCATCGGAGAAATCCTTTCAGTTAAATGGTCTGACCAAATTGACACAATGATTGCAGCAGAAGGTAGTTTTTAGTGATGGGCCCCAAAATACTATCTTACCCATTTACCTTTTTAATTCTCTATAGATGATTATTTCCCATTAACAATTATTTCAAACCAACTGAACTGATGGCACTGGGGCATGAAATGATCACATGCAGTCCTAGCCCAGTATCATTTCAATGAAAGGAAAGTGGATGTAGAAAAGAAATCCTATTTGCATCCCTGACATCCATTTCTGCTTTTAGAGATTAAATCCAGTTAAAACAAGAGGCTGAAAATGAAATTGGTAATGGAAGGTTGTTGACTGGGTTAGAGTTGCCTGCATCTTAACATCTAAGACTTGACGTGCAGTATCCTAGGAAGTCTGTATGGATTAACAATCTCTGTGGTCCTACACAGATCACTCTTTGTCTTCACTTTTCCCTCGCCACTATATTGCAATTGGATTTTAAACAAAAGTCTGGGTCTCGTGCTGACAAATTGCCTTCACTTCTCTCAATGAGGTGTAAGTGACAGGAAAGGGAGGCATCAGAGAGTGTCTAGGACCGCTGAGTTTTTTGGCGTACACATGTACATGTAGATGCCGTGTAATATTACCCCCATTGAGATACAGTGAGGGATTTTAAACTGGCGGCTGCTGTTTAAAGAAAGGAGGCAGCCCATCTATGTCCTGGCTGATTCATGTGCGCAGTGGCCTGCAGATGGGCACCGAGCTAAAGGTGGCCGGAGGGATCCACAGCCCAGCAATTTTTTTTATGTTGTTGTTTATTTCTTTCTTTTTTTTTGACATTTTTTATGTAAATATATTTTTTTCTATTTTATTTTTTAATAAACATTTTAAAACTGCCATTCAGCCTGTCTTTTTTTTGTGTTTGGGTTGCTTTAAAAAAAAAAGTTTGCTAACATGCTGGTAGCAAAACATGAGATAGATATGGTGTTTCAGCGATGGTCATGTAGGTTACAGTGGGTTTATTAGTGCCTGATTTGATCCTGTATTGGATATCAGAGGACAGATAATGGGGGTGGAAAAACTAAATAAAAACAGCAACAGTGTACATCCTTAACCAAATGATCTTAAAGGCTGAGGAGGAGAGGAACTCCTATCACATCACAACACCATTTTAACCCTAAACAAAATGTTGTGCAGCTTTGACTTCCCATCCATTATGGTTATTTTTCAAAACAGGCATACCTCTTGAGTGTTAGTGTGTCATGTGGCTCTGATACCTTCAACAGTCAACATGTGATACTTCTCATCAGCACTGGGGGGTGCTGTGTACTGCTTTTGGTGCTGATGTAAAAGAATCTCTCACAGGCACACTGCTCTACATTGCTGAGCTCCCTCCCTCCTGATATGCTTTAACCCTCAAACCAAATATAGAGGCGTTAACTCCACGTTGCCAGACTTTGTCCACAAGCTGTACATTAAATCCCTCCAGGCCTTTAGTGGATGTCAGATGTTTGTATGTATGTGCATTTGTCCTGGATTAGGTGTTCTGTCTGTTCTGATGTGCCTCTTGTGATAGACTCTTCATTACATGCCCGGGTATCTTTTTAACGACCTGATCCACGTGTCTTAACCCCACTGATATTGCTTCTGAACAGTAATAAAGCTGAAGTGCAGAGGTAGCTTAAAAGGATTAGTCCAGAAGCTCTAGTTGAACAAGGTCAAGGGGGCCAAAAAGTAAGGGCATTTTCATTCTGAAGGAGCTACCTGTTGGTAAGGTGAGTCATATCAGGAATCAAAGGGTTCTTAAGGTAAAAAAAAAAAAAGGCAAATCACACAACAACAACAAAAAACGATTAATGTTAACTGAAATGGAGAGGAATCCGTCTCATAAACAGATATCTGATATGTCTGAGTAGGGCCAGCCAAAAAAAACCCTAAAAGGCAATGCTCTCCCCAGAGAATGCAGAATTTAACAACCGAGTGGAAAGGCTTGATGCAAGACTGAATGAACAATTCCCTCACAGGCCATTGATTTGTTGCATCCACACTTTGATTTATAGTGTGAAGTGGAGCAGAGAGAGGAAAGGCAGACAAGGCTTCTCCCAACTGACCATAACGCAATGAAATTACCTATTTGAGAAAGTGATCTTCTTTCCATTGGATGAAGCAGTAATACCACCCCTTTTTAAACACAAGTTTTGTGTTAGTCGTAGTTCTTTGTTAAAGGGTACTGCAATAGATAAATAAATGTGATGATGACTTTAAGTTCAGCTGTGGCTCAGTTGGTAGAGTCGCCTCTCAACTGGAAGGTTGAAGGTTCGATCCCCAGCTGGACAACATGTCCGATGTGTCCTTGGGCAAGACACTTAACCCTGAATAGCTCCTGCTGCTTCGGGGGTGGTGTATGTAGGATTAGTTACTTCTGATGAATGATACTACATAGCGATCACTACCATCAGTGTGTGAATGGGTGTGTGTGACATGCGGTGTAAAAACGATTTGAGTAGTCGGAAGACTAGAAAAACGCTCTATAAGCTCAAGTCCATTTACCATTCTTATGACTATGAGGTGAAAGGTGTCACTCATGTTACAAACTCAGTAAAATGATCAACAGACTGCAGTCCCGATTATGTCAATGGAGAATTTTGGCATCTTAAAATGTATTGATTTGGTTTAAGAGTTGACAAATGTTCTTTTTCTGTTTAATCTTTACACCCAACTCACCCCCCAAAAAAACTCTTGAAACCCTCTTTAAGCTGAACGCCTACTATCAAATACCAGAGAGGCAACATCACACAGA